TTTAAAAGAAAATTAAATATTTAAAAAAAAAAAAAAAAAAAAAGCTCGAGCAAGGAAGTTGCAATCTATAGATTTCATTTACCTGATTCTGAAAGCCTAGGCTTTAAAACACCTTTTTCACCTTTTGCAAAGGAAAGCCGATACCCCTCCAAAAACCCCTGACAATCTTCAATAGGAATGTCTTCCCATTTTACCAATATAGAATCTGAAGAGGTTTCTTCTACAGTAAAATTTGGTGCACGTTTTGGAGCTGTAGGGAGAATTACAAAGGAAAAAGATAGTAAGAAACCACATTATCATTAAATGCTGAAGCCATGTAAGTGTTTCATCAGTTTTATTTCAGGGCTAGCATTTTCAACTTTTTCCTGAATACTTTTCCCTCATTCTGAAGAACATGTGAAAAGGCTTAGCAGGTGATAACTACAAAAATACAAGTATGTCAGTCTCATTGCTATTAATTACTGCAGTATTATCTACTAACAGAAGCTGAAAGAAAAATCTCTCCTTGGGCAGCCTTCTTACAGACCCAAATACCCTTCTTTCTGCAACAAACCCCAAAAGATTGCATAAACATTCAGAGCATACAAATTACTTAGCTTTTAAAGGCTTTAACTCTGTGACTTCATAGCTTGTCTTCAAATTAAACAAACTCCACATTCCTATCATGGAAATCTATCTCAGTTTAAAAGAACTACTCTTAGCAGGCGTCACAAGTCCTTATTCCAATACCTGTACCCCACTGAAAGTGTTACATCAGATATTGTGTAAAGTCATGCGCATCAGGACTTAGTCCGACATTTGGCATTTATCTATCAGTGCTGAACTCATGTTTAAGAATGCTTCTATTTTTGTCTTGATGGTTATCTGTCCAAAGGCAAATTTGAAGTTTTAGAATGAATCTGCTCTTGTGCAAAGTGAATACATTTCTCAGTTCCTAATAAGTTTCTTCTGCTTGTTCAATGCATTTTTAGTCCCCCAAAGTCTTTATCCTGTTACCTTGAAAGCTTCCAATCTGTTGAGAATACATATGGAAAAATCTTCTGGGAAACTGTTCAGGATTTTGAGAGATATAAATGACTGGAAGTTGAGTTTCTGGTAAAATTGCCTTAACCTCACCTTCAACCTTAGCAATGAAATAAGCAACGGCATTTCCAAGGGCTCAGATTATGTCAGCAGCTCAGTTTTCCAAGCAAACTATTTTAGCAGAAAACACATTAAACTTCTAAGTGAAATGGGTGCTGTAGTTACAATACAATACAGTTGTGATGTTAAAGGGTAAAGCCATGTTCAGATTCCTGGGAACAGAAAGCATTCAGATGCTAATGCATCTCCAGGCAAGCAAAACTCAGCCCTAGATCAAACTGCAGTTACCCAGATGGGGTTGGTACAGGAGGGAATACAAGTGCAATTCTCTAAGTGGCTTGTATGCTAGGATCTAGTTCTGGTCTAAGAAGTGCTTTTAAACAGAAATGTTGTGGACGCTTTTTATATTTGCTGAGCTGTACCAAATGTGCTCAGAAGTATACTTTGACTTGACAAATCAAAAAGAGTTGCCTCCTCTCCTGCAGAAGTGACCCCATCCCTGTGGTTCAAATTATGCCTGTGCCTTCAACTCTGAAGACCACTGTCTTCAGAGCGAACTTCTGTGACACCTTGTGCCACCACACAAGCTGGAGAACACAGGGTTATTGCATGCTGGGAACTGGAAGTGGCTAGAGAAATGTATTACCATTATATACAGAGAACGAGCAGAAGTCAGTAGTATTGTATGGGGATTCTGGTCTCAGTCTTCTTCTGCCAACACTGAGCTAAAAATAGACACAGTTTAAATTCACTTTGTAAAGATCCTGAATGATAAAGTGCACTTACGCAGCTCTTTCATATACCCAGTTATGTTTTTCAATAACTGATATCCACTGGATTTGCAGCCATATAGTGAAAAGTTGTATCTCACACCAGGTCTAAACAGAGCTGCAAGAGAAAAATAGCTGTAAGAATATTTCACTTATGAAGAGTGATGCTTTTAGCTTTCACACGATACAGACATATAAATACATATTAAAAAATTACAAAGTCTTAGACCACAGTGTTAGGTATAAATACTACCTCTATTTGTAACTCCTACAAAAGCTAAGCCATCAGATGCAGTTTAGAAGCAGTAAGCAAATCTAGCTCCCGGAGAAATTTTGGTTCTAAACAAATAGTATTCAAAACAGGCTACTCAAATGGCATAAATTGCTCTTTCCATGCAGAAACACAAACTGAAGTAACCAGAGACAATCCTCTTCCTTTCCTCCCACGGCAGCCATGTAGATCCTGCCTCCTCCTCAGAAATACAAATGCATTTGGAAATACCCAGGCTTATTACAGCAACAGTACAAAAGAAATTCAGAGAACTCTCAAAAGTGATAGTGAAGCACTTAAGCAATGAACTCCAGGCCTGAAATGACTCTACAAAACAGATAGTCATGAAATTTCTGCTTCACATATCTTTGGTGGAGGCATAGGTGTTTGATACTACAACATATAAATAATTTACCACTTCCCGGGATTTCCCAAGTCAGGGGTGTACGCTACTTTCAAGATTTTTTCTAAACAAGATGCCACTGTGAAACTCTACAGAAGTCAAGTGGGTTTTGCAAGAGTTCAAGTCCAGCCTGAGATATTCTCCTGGCAGGACTAAGTGCAGAGGTGAATTTGCCAGCTTGATCCCAGCCCTAGCAGCCTGGTAACTCCCACAACCTGCCACAAGAAGCATCCCAGGAAAGTGCTCAGGACTAGAGCAGTGCATCGTTGGACAGACATAGTATTGTCTGCTTAGAAAAAGCAGGCTTTAGCCAGCACAGATGAAAACAACATGGACACAGTGTTGTAATTCCAGGCAGGAAAACATATTGCCTCCTCCCCCCCCCAGGTCTCACTCCCCCCCAACTTTCCTATGCACACAGCTCCAAGCTGTTTTCTCTAATGGAGACTTTATATACTAAACTCTTCTATACACCCTTTTAGACAGCAGAGAAAAATCCTACATCTTTCTTGGATCCTCTCTTTCCTCTTCTGCTCCTACTAGTCCCACCACAGCTGAGTTTCATTTCCCTGATCTGCCCACCAGCATCTAGAGACCTGGAATGTGCCCTGTTCCAGGAAATTTCAATTGCTGACAGCAAGCCAACACATGGAGGTCACACTTGAAAAAATCTGCCTCATGTAAAAACAACGGATTAGTCTTCCCCCATCCTGAGCAGTGCTGTTTATGTTTAGAATCCAAATAAAACCCCAAACCCTAGATTAACTGTTATGCATTAGGCTGAGTTAGGAAGTTTTTGGGTGTAGCTAGAAGAGGTAATTTCAAAACAGTTAATAAACATAAGATGATAACAGTTAAGTCAAGACTAATATTTGGATTTGGCAAGGCTGTGTAAGAAGTTAAAATAAACATAGTACCAAGAAGGGGTTCATTTATATACACAAGCACACAGCAATGCAGTAATCTTCAACCTATAGCATTGATGCTTCTCTCATTCCACTTGCTACTCAGGCTCTCAACCAGAAAGACTCACAGAAAATTATTTCTGACTTACCAGACTTTATCACTGCATCTGTTGTATTTGAAGGAAATTTCTGCCAGTCCACACTACAGGGTTCAGATCCAGATGAATGACACCATTTTACTATGTAGCCACAGGTCATGTTGGGGTAAGAATTCCAAGAAATATAAATTCCATTCCCCATTGCCATGGCCCGATCTGTTTTGACATTGTCTGCAACAAAGACGACACAAAAATCCATCAGAGGGCAGACACTTATCTATAGTCCAAGCTGGAAGAAAGCCTTCCAGCCACAGCACAAAGGTTTAATAAACTGCAGTCATTTCTAAGAACGAGAGGCGCACTCCTGGTACTGTGAAATTCGAAGCGGTGCACTCAACTGTGCTTTCTGAAGTGCTGGAAATCAGATGTAGCCTGCAGCAAATCCCTCAGTCAGCCTTAAGTATGATGACGAGAAGTGCTGCAGCTCAGGACTGGCTTAAAAAGCACTTTTTTAAGGTAAGGATTTACAGCAGATGTCAGGTTCAATTCTGACTTGACACCGATTTGGCAGGAGCCTCCAGCTATAAATTCCTGCTGTCATTTCATCAAACAGTTTGCTCTGTGTTTCTTTCAAAGTGTCTTGCTGTCACTTGCCCGACCACAGACAACCATTTTTCACCAAGAATCAGCAGCAAAAGTCAAGTTTCTGGTGAACTTTATGGAGGCTCCAGTCTACCAAGGATAAATTAAAAAAAAAAAAAAAAAAAAAAAAAAATTTT